TGATGGGTATCTAGGTTGTTTCCATCTTTTTGCTATTGCGAACAGTGCTGCAATGAATATAGGTGTGCATATGTCTATTCGTGTGATGGCTCTTATTTCTCTAGGATATATTCCTAGGACTGGGATTGCATTTTGTAGTGTTGTTGTTGTATTTTTTTTTTTTTTTTTTTGGTGCCTGCCTTCTCCTTTCCACATAGCTTTGTTAATGACTTTATTTTGCTCTGTCTGACCCACCACAGGAAGATTACAGCCCAGGTGTCTGACATGTATATCCTTAGCCTGATAAGGAGTTGTCTGGCATGTATCTCTTTAATCTGATAAAGAGTCTCTTGTAATTACCCTGTAATGAATAACTCATCTGGCCATGCCGTCTGCAGGCTACAAAGACACTTCTAACCTTTGTAAAAATCATATATAAGCTCTAATGTAAAAATGCCTTTTGGGACTCAATAAAGACAGCCTACGTTGCTGCCAGACTCCCCGTTGGTGGACACCTCTTAAATAAACTTTCTCATTCTTTCTGACTTGGAGAACATTTCATTGGCTCAACTGCTCCAGAGCACAGACCCTAATCAGGCAACGCCCTGCTAGCAAAATCCATTAGATTATTTACTGAAGAAGACCGAAGACAAGTTAATGCATCTGAATTATGATTTTGACAAAGAATACTGAATATACCATGGACTGTTGGAAGAATAAACAAATCTGTCTTTGGAGAAGTACAGCCAGAATACTCCTTAAAAGCGAGGACTTGTTATCAGGAGGGACCAGTCCCTAGAGAAGAGCACCATGCTTGGTAAAATAGAGGGTCAACAAAAGAGATGAAGACCCTCAATGAGGTGGATTGACACGGTGGCTGCATCAATGGACTCAAACATAGCAATAATCCGTTGTGAGGATGGTGCATGACCGGGCAGTGTTTTGTTCTCTTGTACTATGAGTCAAAACCAACTTGAGGGCAGATAACAACAACAATAACAATTACCAGGAGATTTTCTATTAGCATATTTACAAAAGTATTTTATCAGATCACTTGTCTTCTTTCTTTACTTGGGACTTTTTCCCCACCCTCACCCCCAAGCCTTAACAGGAGAGAATGGATTGATGGATTGAAGACTTGTGCTTAGTAGATTAGTTCTCAGTGTTCGTTTATTTCACCCTTAAGTATCATGTGAACTAAAGGTTTTTAGTAGATACCCTTAATCAGATTAAGTACATTTTCTTCTTCTAGTTTGCTAAAAGTTTTATCATGAAAGAGTGATGAATTTTGTCATATGCTCTTTCTACATTTGTTGAGGTGGTCGAACAATTTTTCTCATTTATTCTGTCAATATGGCTAATTACATTGATTTTCAAATTTAAACCAACATTGAATTCCTAGGAAAACTCCTACTTGGTCATGAGATACTCTTGTTTTGTATATATTCGTTGGATTTGATGTGTGTGTACACACACACACACAGACATGCACACATAGCATTTTGCTAATTTATTAAAAAAATTTTTTTTCTGTTTTATTTTATTTTTTGAAATTTTATTATGCTTTAGGTGAAAGTTTACAGCTCAAGTTAATTTCTCCTTAAAAAAATTATACACATACTATTTTGTGGCACTGGTTGCAATTCCCACGATGTGACATCACGCTCCCCCTTTCCACCCTGGGTTCTCTGTATCCATTTGTACAATTCCTGTCCTTTCCTGCCTTCTCGTCTTGCTTTTGGACAGGAATTGCCCATTCTGTCTCATATGTTTGATTGGACTAAGAAGCACTTTTGTTTTATAGGCTTGTCTAATCTTTAACTGAAAAGTGGGCTTCGGAAGTGGTTTCAGTTCTGAGTTAGCAGAGCGTCCAGGGCCATAGGCTCAGGAGTTCCTCCAGTCGCTGTCAAATCAGTAAGTCTGGTCTTATTTCGTGCATTTGAATTCTGTTCTACATTTTTCTACCATTCTCCCTGAGACTCTGTTGTGATATGATTCCTGTGAGAGCAGTTGGTAGTGGTAGCTGGGCACCATATAGTTCTTCTGGTTTCAGGCTGGTAGAGTCTCTGGTTCATGTCCTTTAGTCCTTTGGGCTAATATTTTCCTTATGTCTTTGGTTTCCTTCATTCTCCTTTGCTCCAGACAGGATGGGACCAATACAAGTATCTTAGATGGCTGCTTGCAAGCTTTTAAGACCCCAGACGCTACTCACCAAAGTGAGATGTACAACATTTTCTTTATGAACTATGTTGTGCTAATTGACCTAGATGTTCCCTGAGACTATGGTCCTCAGCCCCCAGCCCCAGTCACTTGGTCCCTCAAAGTGTTTGGAAGTGTCTAAGAAACTTCTATGCTTTTGCTTTGATCCAGTTGTGCTGACTTCTATATTGCATGTTGTCTTTCCCTTCACCAAAGTTGACACTTGTCTACTATTTAGCTAGTGATTTCCCCTCCCCTCCTCCTCACCCTTGTAACCTTCAAACAATGTTTTTTTTTATGTGTATAAACCTTTTCTTGAGTTCTTTTAATGGTGGTCTCATACAGTATTTGTCCTTTGTGACAAACTTATTTCACTCAGCAAAATGCCCTCCAGATTCATCCATGTTGTGAGATGTTTCATGGATTCATCATTGTTCTT